CAAAGCATATGCATACAGTCCTCACTATTTGCGCTATCCACAAGACAGCAACGACCGGTGTGGAAGTGCGAGGCTGGCGGGCACAGTAGCAAGATATCCTCGAGGGTCGAGAATCTATCATAACAGTAATGGACCAGTGAGATTTAGCTGTCGCCTGGATGATGGAGCTCACCGAAGGATCGCGACCAGCAGAGCTCACGCTGGTACTAGAGGACCAACTTTCCTTGAAGCGCGCTTGACATTGAGGACACAACCTCTTGCATGGGTGCGTTGAACCTACGAATACCGCATTTCTGGCTCTCGACGTGATGACAGAGAACACTGAGGGCGCTGAATTCTTTACCACATCCCTCCCATTGCTTGGGACACATGTAGATCTTGTCATCGTGTACCGCGCTGGCAAGGTGATCATTGAGGCCTCTAAGAGCCTCGAACTCCCGATGGCAAAGGAAACATTCGAATCCCTTCCCGTTAAAAGAGAGGGAGGTCGCGAGGGAGGTGATGGCTCGTCTGGGAGCAGCAGGTCCGTCGGGGCCTTGCACGAGCCGAGCGGGATTGGTCACCACGTTTGTCTTGTCAAGCTCCACCGCGATTTGATTGACCTGTTCCCTCGTTACGCCCGACTTACACGCCCCTGATTCGAGGTGTGCAATTAGTCCCCCGGCAAGCTTGAAGCGCCTGTTGCATTTGCGTCCCGGGCAAAGCAGAGGTTTCTTGGGTTTTTTCTTATGCTCGATCAAGTGACCGTGAAGGTCTGCAGCCGTGTCGAAGCATTTGTTGCATTTGTTGCATTTGTTGTAGAGATTGTGTCGCTTTATCTTATGCTTTTTCAATTGGCTAGGGGAGTGGAATCCCTTGAAGACGGATTTCACAGCTCGGATAAGTGTTTACGGCATTGAATGAGGACATCTTACTACATGGCACAAGGAGCAAAGATTGAAGTCCGAAGAATGCACGGCTGTTGCGTGAGATTGGAGGGCATTCTCTGAAGCGAAGCGCCTATCGCATGCAGAGCAGTACGTCACAGTGGAATACGGAGGAAGCTGTATGGACCAGACGAGAGATGAAGACACGATAACTGTCTAGCACGGTGATACGCACAGATTATGTGCTCAGAACTATGCACGTCCAATATAGCGTGTAAGGCGATGGCAGGTGAGCAACTTGCTGTTACTGCTCGTCGTGCTGTTCAAAGTACTGCTCGAGTGGGAGATGGCACCAGAGCATGGCTGGACGCGTGTCCAAGTCTGCATACCTGCCGATGCGTGCAGGTATGCTTCTCCGGGACTTGACTAGATAACGTGCTGAGGTTATGGTACCGGGACGATCTTTCAAGAAGGACCATCTCCTCGTTTAGAATACAAAGCCGAATAAGGGCATACACTGACGAATGCTAGACACCATCGCGAGCATCAGGATGTCCATGTCTTTTATTTTTAATGCAACATGTTCCGTACAAGCCAAACATCCCTAATTCACTCATCACAGGGAGTAGCGCTGGATACGATGTAATCGGCACAGCCTGTAGCGACAGCACTCTGTGCTGGTGACATCGTAAATCGGTCCAATGGCTTACTGTACAGTAGGTTGCGCATGTCTGTCGCGTAAGATAGCAGGGCGAAAGCGAGGGAAGAGAGCTAGGTGTCTAGAGCGGAGGAATACAAAGTTCAAAGAGGAACGATAGTATGTCTCCGATCATGCCTCTCCCCTCCTTGTCAAAGAGCGAGCCTCTTACCCAACGCCTTCGTCACGTCTCCGATAACGTCTTGCATAGGCTGGTTGAAACGGCGAATCCCACACGCCTGGCTCTCCACATGCTGGCAGAGCCCACTCAGCGTGCGGAACTCGGCGCCGCACCCCTCCCACTTCGTCGGGCACCTATATATCTCCGCGTCGTGCGCCGGGCTCTGCATATGCTCGTTGAGGCGGCCGAGGGTCTTGAAGCTCTGGTGGCACAGAAAGCACTCGTATTGCGAGCCATTGAATGAGCTCGCCGTTGCAATGGCGATCACCGGTGGTTTTGGTGGCACATACCCATCGAGCCCGGGTAGTAAGCGCGAAGCGTTCGTGATGACGTTCGCTTTGTCGTACCGCACGGCGAGCGCGTTCACGTAGTGACGGTTCGCCCCTGAGCGGCAGCCGCCGGATTCGAGGTGGTTGAGGAGCCCCGCACCGGAGAGGAAGAGCTTTTGGCACTTCATCCCCGGGCAAGGCACCGTTCTCTCCTTGTGTTTAGACGACCTCAAGTGCGTCTGCAGATTACCTTCACAGGCGAAAAAGCGCCTGCATTCGACGCAGTAGTGATGCGACTCGGCGAGATGACCATCCAGATCAACATCGGCCTTGAATATCTGTGCAGCAACCATGTAAGCATGCTGCAGGCATGGAATCAGTGAAAGAATGCACGATGTTGCATTTAGGGCACCCAAGCGGAATATGCCTGAAGGGTGATGCCTCGTGTGCCTCGAGAGCCTTATTGTTCTCAAAGTAACGATTGCATTGAATACGACAGTTGTGCTTGTTGATGCGGTGGTTGTCAAGGTTGCTTTGAGTAACGAACAGCTATAATGAGTGCATAAGCTGCATTTCATATTACGATAAGTAGGGACGCACATAGTGACACAGTGGACACTGAATAACCGCATGCTCTGGAGAGTTCTGGAGATGTTCCCGTAGTGATTCGACACTGATAAACCACCGACTGCATTGATAACAGCACACATTCACGCTCTGCGTCGCCATGCTATACGTTGCCGCATTCAGCCACGCCAACCTCATCGTCTCCATGTTCAACGCAGCTAAATTGTTCAAAGCAGCCATGTTAAACAAGGCCATCTGGAACGCCGCCGCGTTGAATGCCGCCATCGCGCTAGCTTGTCTTCGTTGGCACATATTTGCGTGAGCAGGTGCAGCCATCATACGCGAATCTGGCGACGCACCACAGTCTATGATGTTTGAAAGCCGCCTACAACCTATGCGCAACTTCGCTCTCTTGATACTGTGGAATGATGGGTATAGGAAAACACTATAAACGTTGAAAGGAAAAGGTCAACTCACGAGGTGTCGCGATCGATGCCTGTGTAAGCGCCCGCGAAGCTCAATGAGACGCCGCCTACAGTATGGTGAAGCGAAATCTATTTAGGTGTAGCCACGAGGCATCGCCGGACGGAGATGGTCACTCGTCTGGTAAATGCAGCCACTAGTACTCGTGTCGTCGGAAGGCCATCATTGTCGTGAACAGCAAGACACTATTAAATTGAGGTTTGCTAGAGAGTATACATGATGCAAAATATCGACAGGTCGAGCTCCAAGCACATAGTCATTGCACGCAGGTACGAGGACGTTGCGCTGAGGGCCTGACTCTGATCGACGTGCTGCACCAAAACGAATGCGGAAGGAACATACTACTCTGTGATAACGTCATGGCACGTGCATTCCGACAACGACGACGTCCTTGTGGTCCTAGCCAGGGTTGATGCATCAGCGTAGCTTATCTATCTTGCATCGACACGACTGTGATCCAACGACGACAAAGCACCATCTGCACGATTATGAGGTCCTGCGTACAACAAAATGATGATGTGCATATAATTATACAGTATTCGCTGATGACTCACCGGAAGCTGGTTGGTCGTCTGCTGCTGGCGACAGATGGGTCATTATGAATCATTGAGGCAATCGAGGACCGCAGCTGATGATCGGGAAATGGGAACTTGAAAGGCGGGCAAGAGCGAGCGAGCGAAGGCAGATTCAATGTATTGCTGGTAACATGGGGTAACCTCGAGACACTTTTTGTCCCAAAGCGAAGTGAAAAAAAACACCACAGGAAGACTTTCAGAATGTGAGCCGTGCCATTCCGGTGGACAGATCGGCGAGGACATTGCGCATCGAGTGATTGAACCTGCGAATGCCACATTGCTCGCTTTCGACGTGCTGACACAAGGCGCTGAGTGCCCTAAATGTGCGTGCCTTGCTCATACTACTTGTCAAATACTAACGGTAAAGGGCTCTACGCACACATGGAGTGCTGATCCTCCATCGAATTCCAGGATAAGTGCCGCGCCGCAGCCTTTAAAGTGTACGGAAGTGGAGATGGATGAACTATCATTGCTATCACCACGAGGCGAATACACTCACATAATCTGCTGCGCTTTTGGAGCCTTCGAGTCTTGGGATTGAACCCCTCTGGCATGTCCATACTCATTCAAGTCTAGCGGGACACCGACGGTCCCTATACTCCACGATGTTGACTTTTGGGTATGTCGGGCAAGCGTCGCTGCCGGCCCGGGTCACGTGGTCGTGCGCCGGTGTGGGAATAGGACTTATGTAGGCGTTGCGCGCCGTAGGTAGCCCCATCGGTTTGTAACCTGATCCACCATTGATCCCTGTCCATCGAGGACGTTGGCTGCCGGCGGTCTTTCCGGCGTCGTTCTCACACAAACCGATCGACAAATCAAGGCTTTGCTGTTGCCTAGAACCTCGCTATACTACTCTCTCGTCTGGTACTGGCGCCAACATGACTTCGGAGCATGACACCAAGTTCCCCCTTTTGGTCGAGGGGAAGTATCGGGTCTGGGCAATGAAGATGGAGGCGGAGTTGGTTAGGAAGGGACTGTGGGGGGTAGTGGAAGTCGAGGTGGAGCCCAAGGAGGGGGAAGACAGGGCTGAGGTGTTAGCGAAGGAGCTAAAAAAGCGGAAGAAGGCCGACATGGCCAAGGCGTGGGCGGAGAGCGTGCTCCGGGTTGGTGACAACCAGTTGGAGCTGTTGGAGGACGAAACGGACCCCCGTGAGTGCTGGCGGGTCCTCCAGGATGCGCACCGTTCACGAGGTTTCGCCACGGAGCTGGCAAAGTGGCGGCAGTTTTACCGCGCAGAGATGGAAGGCGGCGAGACAGCACAGGCTTGGATCTCCCGGGTCAAAGGCTATGCACGGGCGCTCCGGGATGTCGACGTCGAGGTATCGGACCAGCAGAAGGTCCTTGTTCTCATTATGGGACTTGGCGAGGACTTTGAGCGGGTGGTCATGGTGGTTGACGAGATGCCGACAAGGGAGCACACATTTGACAATGTGTGTGCAAAGCTGCTGAATCAGGAGACAAGGCTCGGGAAGCGGCGGGACAATGGCGAGGCGACTGTCGCCAACATTGCAGCTTCAGGGGGAGCTTTGGGGGGCAAGGTGACGTGTTTTCGCTGCGGAAAGGTTGGGCACATTCGACGGAATTGTCCGGACAAAAGGACTCATGCAAGCTTGGCGGTTGTGGAGGATGTCTTCGCATTTTGATTGGGCATAGGTTAATGGCAGCTCGCTTGAGGGGGAGTGTTGACTTTTGGGTATGTCGGGCAAGCGTCGCTGCTGTCGTGACTTGAGGTCGAGCAACTGGAGAGAACTTAAAGGCTGGGGGCATCCGACTAGATCTTACCGAAGCGATGGTGAGCAACTGTCACGAGTTGGTACGGCGTCTAGCCGTTTTTTTAATTTTTTCCTTTTTGCGGACTCGAACCCGCGACCTCTGTACTACCTGCCTGATATGGACGCGTCACTATCTACTGTACGATTAGATTAGATGGGGCGGCAGCGCACGGCACAGCTCGGGCCCCGCTGACACAGCCGCTCTGACTCACCGGCCCCCGTGGCCGCGTCGGCATGCTGCGCACAGACCAGCTGCGCACGGACCAACGTGCACAGCCTGCCCTAA